CTTTTCCGATCTTAGGAAAATGTGCGTCAGAAAAAAATCTCGGCATCCAGAGGGTTAAGCAGGAATCTGTGACGTCAACAATGAAGCAACGTCATTGTTTATTGTGTCCCCATAAGTAATGACATCACAGAATAAATACGTCAACAATCAGCTGACGTCATAGACAATCAGATTATCGGCAGTGTACGCTGCCGGAGGACGTGTTGCTTTCGGGATGTATCACAAAAGCAGGTTTTGTTGTGACAGGAACATGATTAGGCGGAGGTAAGTCAGAGGCTATATTCTTTGATGCGAAACCATTTTCTTTCAATATTCAAACAGACCTTCGCGTTATGCAGTGACGTGTGTTCACTGCAGACGACTGTTTAGATTTGATGATTGTATCCTATATTCCTCTGTCTAGTAATTTAGTATGAATAATAGACAAAGCTTATAATGTTCTTGGCAGTGTCGGCATTGTGGTAGTGAATGAATGGGCGTGTTACGAGCGTTAAATGTGTTTTTAATTGAATGTGATTGGATAACTAGTATGCTGCCCTTTCCAGGAAATGTACAGAGTTAACGTTCGGATTTGTGTTGTGACTGTTGGTTGCCGTCACATAACATGACTTGAATGTGTGTGCCTAGATGAGATCGCGTAGTTGTTAAAAGGAAAGTATCACTTGTGTTGAGGTTGATGTTCAGATGGATCCATTCCTTTGGTGTATTGAAGTCGCAGTCAGTAAGGAAAAGCATTCTGTTGTCATCCTCCGTAACTATCATGTTGTGTGGTTAACACAGGTATATAATTAGTAAGTCTTTGTTTGGAAATTAAATCAGCAAGTCGCAGACGTAGTTATAACATTATACCGCGTTTGTGCCATCAGTAACTATTTGCTTGAAGGAAGTTATTTGGTGTATATTATAGAATGTTCACTTTATTTACTCGGCAGGTGCAACGATGCTTCAGATTGTTTTTAAATAGAATTCAGTTGTAAGTATGAGGGTCCTTTCCAAATACTGCCGCATGTATTACTGTAAAAACGCCAGTGGTCTACCCGAGCTTGGTTTCGTTGCTATGATTTGATGTGCGTTCTTTGCTGTAAATTTTGTGTATTTTGTTTTTAACCTGTGCTAATTCATGACAGAGAGCATCGTATTGGGATGATAAAGGGACCGTGTCTGTCTCAGTTGCCCGTATAATCAGGAGCGACGCTTGCCAAATAGTTACAGGGGTCCACAAACGGTTTAGGACACAGCGGTGATGTCGTTAAGCAGGAATCTGTGACGTCAACAATGATGCAACGTCATTTTTTATTGTGTCCCCATGAGTAATGACATCACAGAATAAATACGTCGACAATCAGCTGACGTCATAGACAATCAGATTATCGGCAGTGTACGCTGCCGGAGGACGTGTTGCTTTCTGGGTGTATTACAAAAGCAGGTTTTGTTGTGACAGGACCGGGATTAGGCAGAGGTAAGTCAGAGGCTATATTCTTAGATGCGAAACCATTTTCTTTCAATATTCAAACAGACCTTCGCGTTATGCAGTGACGTTGATGTTGATGTTCAGATGGATCCATTCCTGTGGTGTATTGAAGTCGCAGTCAGTAAGGAAAAGCATTCTGTTGTCATCCTCCGTAACTATCATGTTGTGTTGTTAACACAGGTATAATTAGTAAGTCTTTGTTTTTGAAATTAAATCAGCAAGTCGCAGACGTAGTTATAACATGAGACCGCGTTTGTGCCATCAGTAACTATTTGCTTGAAGGAAGTTATTTGGTATATGTTATAGAATGTTCACTTCATTTACTCGGCAGGTGCAACGATGCTTCAGATTGTTTTTAATTAGAATTCAGTTGTAAGTATGAGGGCCGTTTCCAAATACTGCCGCATGTATTACTGTAAAAACGCCAGTGGTCTGTCTACCTGAGGTTGGTTTCGTTGCTAGGATTTGATGTGCGTTCTTTGCTGTAAATTTTGTGCATTTTGTTTGCAAACTGTGCTAATTCATGACAGAAAGCATCGTATTGGGTTGATAAAGGGACCGTGTCTGTCTCAGTGGCCCGTATAATCAGGAGCGACCCTTGCCAAATAGTTACAGGTGTCCACAAACGGTTTACGACACAGTTGTGATGTCGTTAAGCAGGAATCTGTGACGTCAACAATGAAGCAACGTCATTGTTTATTGTGTCCCCATAAGTAATGACATCACAGAATAGATACGTCGACAATCAGCTGACGTCATAGACAATAAGATTATCGGCAGTGTACGCTGCCGGAGGACGTGTTGCTTTCGGGATGTATCACAAAAGCAGGTTTTGTTGTGACAGGAACGGGATTAGGCAGAGGTAAATCAGAGGCTATATTCTTTGATGCGAAGCCATTTTAATGAGTATAGATAATCTGTCATATCCCTTAGTGTTCCTTTTCTTCTTTTTAGCAGTATATATCATTCTAGCCGTTACGGACAAGGAGAATATTTCATGACATGACAGATTACTTGGAGTCTCATGAACAAATCAGGGGCTCTTTGACTTATTTTGAGTTGTATCTATCATTCTGACTATTGAGATGACTGATTAAAAACAGATTAATTCATGATTAATTATAGTCGTAATAAAAACCGGATAATTTTGAGTAATTCATATCATCAAATTTGAGTGAGCATACATGTCTTCAATCCAACTTGTCAGGACTGCCAATTCGATGGAACCTAGTCCCTCTTTGATGTAAGTCACGAGAGTGACACTGAAATTGAAACAAGGCTAGTTTTACCGAGTTACAGTAGTCCTAATGAGGAAGTGAGTGATGCTTGTTTATGCAGCAGTCAGTACTAGTACAGCTATATCATGGTGGGCTGTTAGTGATCGCACATGGACCAAAAAGCGCAAGGAGTGATATTGTGAACAACTATCCACGTCGTCATGGTACGATGACACACCGATTCTTATTTATAAACTAGTGTCCAAAAGAAACGATACCAACTTATTTTCAAAATTGTTGTTAACTAAGTGAATTGTCTAGTATGAAAACATGCCAATTCGTATTGCACATCCCAAACACAGCATAGTCGATAAAAAATACCGGGAACACGTGATCACTTCCGGGAAAAAACGTAAATTTCGTGAAAGTGACATTTCCCTCTCTAGCATGTTCTGCACGTGCATAAAAACTGTATAAAACGGCTGGTCAGACACGTTGATATCACAGCAACAAAAAGAACACAAGATATGCCACGTTTGACAGCCATCGAGAGAGAGAGAGCCGTTGGAATGGTCCAACAAGGAGCGTCACACGTCGACGTCGCCAGAAGGTTGGGCTGCGCACGCATCACTATCACCAGGTTGATGCAGCGGTTACTTCAGACAGGTCAGACGTCAGACAGGCCCGGGACATGTTCACCGGACATGAATCCCATCGAGCACTTATGGGACCACCTCGATCGGCAAATCCGACGTCGCCGTGTGCCTCCAGTCAACGTCCAGGACTTGGAACGATGTCTCCTCGAGGAATGGCAACGCATCACTCCCAACGTCATCAGACGTTTGACGTCATCAGTCCGTAGGCATGTTCTGGCATGTATTGATGCTCACGGTGGATATACCCGCTACTGACTTGACTTTGAGACGTGTGGTGTGACATTTCCCGTTGTTTCTGTGATCAGTGCTCTAACGAAATGTTCATTTTTCGACCCCACCCATCTTTAAAGGCTTGTCATATTGGTTGTACAGATTTTATTGAAATGAAATTTTTGTACAGATGTTGTGAAAGGATTTCTCAAAAGCATAAAACCAATCCTAAACTTCTGCATTGTTTAGTTTTTCTTTTATGTCGTTGCAAACAGGTGGTATCGTTTCTTTTGGACACTAGTTTATATAAAATATAAAATATAATATTGAATATAATATTAAATATAAATCCAGCTCTAAAGACGAGACAAGTGCAGCAGCCACCTTTATGTCCTGAAATACCCACTTGTGGTGGACTGTCATCTTCCCGAGGCAAGGCAGTTAACTGAATATAAAAGTTGAAACTGGACTCTTACGGTCAGTTACCTCCCTTGCCTCGGGAAGATGTGGGCTATTGCAACACTTTGTTGGGTGACGGACATGTCATTTTGTTCACTAAATTGTAGTGTTATAATATCCCCGCCAATACAGCATATGGCTTAAATGACTGCCTATGAATTCCTAAAGAATGTTAATCCCCTCTTCCACATTATGATCCTTTCAGAATCTTGTGGACTATGCTTGCCACGTTACTTTTAATTGACACGAGGGCCACATTTGCATATAACTGTCGTCTCAGTCGTTTAGAGTTGCGTCCCTTAGGGGTGCCAGGAACCTATGATCGTGTTGATATGTTTCTTGGTTTGTCAGCACCATATTCGTACTCGTTGGTTTCACCTAAGTGCTGAACGTCCAGATCTGCATCACTTCAGGCTTTCCTCTCGCATCAAGCGGTCATTCAAGCACTCAGTTGACATATTCACAGCTAATCATCTCTCGAATTGCACATTTGATAATTTGAAACACTATTAGATGCAACAATAAATGTACTCACCCCACGGGGTAGTTAAATCGTGTCCTTCCAGTATGTATAATATACATACCATGTAATTAACTGAAACCTCCGTGGGAAGTATACTACATAAGGAATTAATGTAAATTCATTGGTAATTCCTTGTATTCACCAATATTAGGAATTATTCATTGGTGATTACAAGGAATTACCAATGAATGTGCATTAATTCCTTTGGTTATTCATGTATTCACTCCCAATTGCGTGGATCGATGCTCATGATATAAATCACTGGATTGTCTGGTCCAGACACGATTACTCACAGACCGCAGTCATATAGCTGGGATATTGTTGAGTGCGGCGTTAAACAACAAACCACCCAACCAACCCACCTTGTATTCACAGTTGTATTACTTTGATAACTAAATTCAGATGCCAGATTATATACAAAGACAACAAAAAATATATTTGTTCATACTTGTTTTTTTCTGCAGGTCGATCAAGCTCTCGAGAACTACCCGGATGAGTTGTCCGACGTGAAGGGAGTCACAGGTCAATACCCCGCCATCTTTGACCTTGGAATGTGGCAGCTAACCCCAAACAGAAGCATCACTCTGTCTTATCTCCTTAAGAAAGCCCACAGCAGAGGCATCATCACCACACTGTGTCAGCACTTATACAACCCAGTCACTGGAGGAAGCCCTTGGGTGGACAAAGATCCTGGCAACGTTACCCACACTGTCAGACGTCTTCTCCCTGGTGGAGACACGAACCGGAAGTACAGGGACAACCTCGACAAGATCGCCGAGCTTGTCCTCAATCTAAAGGACGAGGAAGGGAAACTGATTCCTGTTCTCTTCCGACCTCTGCATGAGCTGAATGGAGACTGGTTCTGGTGGGGATATGGAAACCGAGCCAAAAATACATTAGAAGATCTGAAGTCCTTCTATAAGTACATCGTCACCTATCTTCGAGGTGTCAAGAATGTCCACAACATCCTGTACGTCATCAGTCCCGACAAGTTCCAAAACAAGAATGATTATCTTCAATTTTACCCAGGCGATGAGTATGTTGACATCATGGGAACCGACTTTTATTATAAATCTTCGAACGATACTACAGCCGATTTCCACAGGATTATAACAGATCTGGTGGAGATGGCTGAGTCTAGAAACAAAATTCCAACACTCTCCGAATGTGGAATGTTTGATAATGGGATCAGCACCCATATGAACTTCTGGAATGACAATATCCTTGACGTCATCAAGGCCAGTTTGACGACAAGAAGAATTGCCTACATCCTGACCTGGGCCAATCAGTGTGCTGAGAATACATGTCAACTGTGGACACCCTATAACATTGTGAGTTAATGTATGGGTTGAAATGTACGACAGTGGTTGGTAGCCCACTTTCCTTTCCTGCTATAGTGCCTCCACCAATATAGATAAGTGAGACAGTTTCCTACCACTTTACGTGAGGTGAGGTCAAATGGGGTTTAACGCTGTGTTTAAGATTATTTCACTAATATAGCGACTCGCGTGCACGGTGCGCAGTCGCTATACTAGTGCCGGTTTTATAGTACCAGCTGACTGAGATACCATGCCGCAGCCTAACATAAAATACAAACACAGACACATTTAACTGACTCCGAGGCAAATAGTCCTGCTTTTAACCTTAAATGACGAGCGACAGGCAGGGTAACAACAAGTACCATCTTTTAACCTCTTATGGTTTGACATGGCCAGAGGGTCCGCTCTCAGGGCAGTCTCCTTTCCCGTACACAACGGAAGCAGTTCAACCTAGGCAAAACCAAAGAGAGTGGTTGGAGATAAATTAGAAATTTGAGCTCATGACTTGGGGATTCTGACATTGTGTCACCTCAGAGAAGCCTCTCTTCCAAAAGGTTGGACGACGCCATACAGTCTCAGCATATTTGTGTAGTTTGCCTGCTTCACAAAGTATAAAACAGGTTTGTGAAGTTGTGCTCAATAATACTTTTCAATAGCATTTCACTTAACATGACGACGTGTCAGCTTACTGTTAAAGGAAAGCCCGAAGTGATGCAGGTCTCAGGTTAACGCTTAGGTGAAACCCACGAGCACGGATATGGTGCAGACAAACCTAGAAACATAATCAAGGCGAACCCCATGAGATTCTTGTAGAGATGGCGTGTCTCTGGCGAAGCATGCTGTTCCACTGGTGCACACAAAACCACGAGTATGGTGCTGAGATCACTGATGGTTCTTCAAACCCACGATGCCCCATTTCTATGACGCATAATGGACAAAAATATGCCTAGTGAATTCCCGTACTTCAGACAACCGAGCCACCCGTGTCCCCTATCCCATGTGTGGCCTTCCTGTTATCTCAGGTTGCAGGATTGGCTGTCGTTATCTTTGTCGTTGTCTGATTTTACAGCAGGGACGACAGCGAGTGTTGTTGTTGTTCCAGTCATAATGAGGTGAGAATAATTTGAAAATTTGTCTCTAGATTTGTATTTTGAAGTTTGTAGCATTTAAGAGTACACTGCAAATATAATTCAGAGGTACATGTATATTGAGTGAGTGAGTGAGTGAGTGAGTGAGTGAGTGAAGATTTAACGTCACATCGGCAGTATTTCAGCCATATCCTGACGAACATGTATATTGAAGATTTTTAAATATTATAAAATAAATAGATTCGCGGAAAAACATATATGGCAAATAGGCCACGTGGCCACTGTGAACAGTAAACAATTGCATTAGAATAACTTGCCAAAATTTCAGGCTAGTATTCTGATTGAATGTTTTACCTAAACCTTTGTATTCTAAACAAACACATAACTTAATTTTCACAACTGATGCCTTTAGTGAGTGAGTATGGTTTTACGCCTCTTTTAGTAATATTTCAGCAATATTACGGCGGGGGACACCAAAAATGGGCTTCACACATTGTACCCATGTCGAGAATCGAACCCAGGTCTTCGGCGTGACGAACGAACGCTTTAACCACTAGGCTACCCGACCGCCCCACTGATGCCTTTAACAAGCATAAGCCCTTTTTTTTGTCATGAGCATTCTTTGAATGTCGGCTGAAGAAAACAATTAAGGAAGTGCTGCGATATTTAATATCTTTGTCCCACAGACACATACTAGCTGTAGGTCTTCTCCTGGGGTCTGCGACTTGTGGCCCAGTGGATCAGCAGGCTACCCAAGAGACGAGGAACTTATTCGGAAACATGAAAGACCTTGCTCGTAACTCCTCCAAGGTGATGTTTGGACATCATGAAGACACATGGATTGGAGCACAGGGAGGCCATCCTCCGTATATGGTACAGACTCTGACCCATGATGGAAACATACAGGCCTACATATTTTGGGCAAGTAAAATATTCATAATTCTACCTGTAACACTCATCTAAATGCTCCCATTTAACCCTCTCTTAAACTCTCTCTTAAGCAAACACAAAAGGAACATGTATATTTATCTTGTTGTCTGTACATTTATGTCACGTTAAGCATACGCCAATTTTGAATAGGACATTATAGGATTTTGTTTTGTTTGCTTGTTTGTTTGTCCACTCATCACTGGACCTGACAATCCAGCGATTGACATTATGAGCATCGATCCACGCAATTGAGATCTATGACATGCATCTACCATCTAGCCTGACCACCCGATCCTGTTAGTCGCCTCTTACGACAAGCATGGCCGCCTTTTACGACAAGCATTGGTTGCTGAAGACCTATTCTACCCCGGATCTGCCCGGGTCGACATTATATGAGTTTTGAAAGGTTCAAAAAGAATACTTGAACTATAATTTTGATGAAGACTAATTTCTTGCTTGTCTATAACAACATTTCAGGGTTGCTTCTTGCACCTTCTTGAAGAAGTAATCATTTTTAACAGATGAAAGGCAAGAAGCAGCCCAGAAACGTCGTTACAAACAATGAAGACGTTTTAATCCATACAAGGTTCCTGTTGTCTTGATCCTCCAACTTCTAAATGCTTATCAAAGACATAATTGTGATGTTTTATTTTCATTTCTAGGCACAACAGGCCAAAAATGGTGACCCTGATGAACTCTCCGACACAAAAGGTGTTACTGGACAATATCCTGCAGTATCTGGTTTTGACTTTGCTCAGTTCTCTGATGAGCATATCATAAGCCTTACATATTTGGCAAAGCTTGCTTATGCTCGAGGGCAAATAGTCACCATATCTCAGCATCTCAACAACCCCGTGACTGGTGGTTCCCCATGGGTAAACAAGGACACGGGAGATGTTCTTCACACAGTCAGAAGGATCCTGCCAGGCGGGGACAAGAATCACATCTACAAGCAGAATCTGGACAAGATTGCCGACTGGGCTCTCAACTTCACTGACTCAAGCAGCAAACCAATTCCTTTTGTTTTCCGTATCCTTCATGAGCTAAATGGCGGATGGTTCTGGTGGGGACTTTCTACAGAGACCCAGAATACTGCAAACGATATAACTAGTCTGTATAGGTACATCGTGACCTACTTAAGAGACGTACGAGGTGCCCATAACATCCTTTACTGCGTCAGTCCAGATAAGTTTAAGACTAAAGACGACTACCTGAAGGTGTACCCAGGAGACGACTACGTTGATGTACTGGGCACCGACTACTATTACATCAATGAGAACCAACCTCCTGTGTCAGATCTGAAGAGAACATTGGATGAATTGGTTGAGATTGCTGAAGCCAGAGATAAAATCCCCGCATTGACAGAAGTAGGTATGTTCAACAATGGTATCGATCGTGTGCACAACTTCTGGAATGACCACGTTTTAGACATCCTGAAGACCGACTCCAAAGCAGCAAGAATTGCCTATATTCTCACATGGACCAATCATTGTTATGGTAACCACAAGTGCGAGCTCTGGATGCCTTACAAAGGCCACCCTGCAGAGGCGGACTTCAGAAACAACTTCTTCAATGATCCGATGACTTACTTTGCTGATCGAATTGGTGGCATGTACAACTAAGATAGATCATCAGAATAAAGTCATGTATATTTGCTCATTATCTTACCTTATTTGAATTCTTAAGTCAGTGATGTTCAGATAAATATCCTTATGCTAACCTGTACAAAGATACTCGTTTCTGATTGGTTACTGACTGGGCAGTTTCTCCTTATGATAACCTGCACAAAGATACTCGTTTCTGATTGGTTACTGACTGGGCACTTTTCCGCCATGTACCCCGCTGACAGAGTAGGTACAACTTTCACATACCTCGCTTGGAAAAGCCGAAATGCTTACCATTGCGATTTCAAAGATATAATTGTTGTGTCTTGGAACTGAACACTTATCAAATGACCTTAAGCAAGAATTCCAGATTGAAATGCATGGGCTGTAACTGGTGATGTATGTACGTCGTCTGTTAGCTGTCAAGATATCCCTTAAACTATCTACTAGCCTTACGAATGAAGACATTTTAGATAGACGGGCCTCAGGTACTAGTAAGGTAGCGGCATACAACTGAAAAAGAATTCACCCTCTACCGTCATGGCAACAAACGTTTTGACTAGTTTCCTTACATCGAAACGGTTTCCTAATATATACACCAGCGGAAAACGTAAGTGTGCTTTTAATACATAGTGCAGTAAATGTTATGTTATTGAAAATAACATGTCCCAATCACTGTTATCGAAGCCATTGGGGGCGGTCGGGTAGCCTAGTGGTTAAGGCGTTCGCTCGTCACGCAGTAGACCCGGGTTCGATTCCCGACATGGGTACAATGTGTGAAGCCCATTTCTGGTGTCCCCCGCCGTGATATTGCTGGAATATTGCTAAAAGCGGCGTAAAACCATACTCACTCACTCACTCGAAGCCATTGATGTGGGTTCTGGATTATATACAAAGGCCACCCTGCTGAAGCGGACTGCTGAATTATTTCTTTAATGGTCCCATGACTATATACCATGATGAACAATTATGAGGGCACTGTCCGTTCGTTTTTTAATGTCTCGGCTTCATGACGGCGACCTGAAAATGATCGTCCATTCGGCTTACCAGAAACCAATGATCGTGGGTTCGAATTCCAGATTCGCCCAGAAAATGTTGTGCTGTTTTTCAGCACCATACCCGTGTTCGTGGTTTTAACCAAAGCGGATAACCAAAAACCTGTATCATTTGGGGCTTTCATCCCACATCGAATCACGTGAACTATCAAAATGTGGTTCGGTTTTTATGTTTTAAATGAACGAATTGCTTACATATAAATATACCAAGTTACGTTGCAAAATATGTTTGATAATAAACGGTACATGATCGACAGAAATGAACAATGTACACATGAAGTATTTGAGACAAGTGGAATTAATACCTTGATTCTCAAAACCCCAAAGGATTTGCTATTTGAAATCTCAGAAAAGAACCAAGTTCTATTCTGTTAAAACATTCAACTTTGAACACCACTATCCCACATGACAAACTTAAGGAAAAGGGGCTTATGTTACAAAACGTGGTGAAGACAGATACAGTTACGTATCTATATTCAGATGTTGTGAAAAATGAAAGCAAATGCCATCTGAAGTTTTACTGAGAAAACAATTTGTGAAATGCTCAACTTCTCATTGAAAACATCTTTGTAAAATTTGGGGGGAGACATTTATGGCCAGAAGTATGCATCCCCATGGGCACCAATTGTGCAAAGTCTGAACAAGGTTATGTGGTTATTATTATTAAATTTTCCTTCATCTCGAGCAATATTCCTGAAGCTCCAGCCTTTGGTGTTTATAGTTCACAACTTTTGAGATACAATCGAGCATGCTCTTTCTACCAAGATTTCAAAGAGTGTCAAACGACTCTTGCTCAGAATTTGATCAAGGTTACAACATTCAAGGCCTCAGTAAATCTTTCAATACGTTTTATGTTAGACATGTGAGGGACGCAATTTGACGCATCATTGACAAAAGTGATGTTCGATGCAATTCCCTATTTTGACTTGTGCCATGTGTCCCGTGTTTTTTTCAGAGAGACAGTTGACATGCCTTTGCATGTGTTTGTGACGGGTGCGACCAGTGGGGCAGGAAATGCTCACCTTGGTGTCATAGTGATTCTTAAACGCATGCTCATGATACAACCTGAATCATACTATCGACTCTTTTTATGCAGATATTTCTATTGGATATGGAAAGGGTTTTGTCGCTGTATGTGTGTGCTTACTAAGCGGCAGTACAGTTCATTTCAGGTGAGAATGACTTCGCTCACTGAAAATAATTTCAAATGAACATGAAACACATGATAAATAAATTGAGAGCTTCAGTTTCTTTCGTCCCTTTGTTTACTTCCAATGGGGGCCCGTGAAGATCCGGGGAAGAATAGGTCTTCAGCAACCCATGCTTGCCGTAAAAGGCGACTATGCTTGTCGTAAAAGGCGCTGACTAGGTTGATGCTTGTCATCGATCCCAATTGCGTGGATCGATGCTCATGATATCAATCACTGGATTGTCTGGTCCAGACTCGATTATTTACAGACCGCCGTCATATAGCTGGAATATTGCTGAGTGCGGCGTTAAACATCAAACAAACAAACAAAAACTTCCAATGGGTATTTTCAGCCAACCCGAAATAATTCGAGTTAGAATTGGTCTTCATCAACACATGTCTGTCGTAAGAGGCAACAAACGGAATCAGGTGGTCGGGATCACTGGAATGTCTGGTCTAGATTCGACTATTTACAGACCGCCGCCATATAGCTGTAACAACCAACCAACCAACCAGTAAACCATTACAATGAATGCTACGATTAAGACTGCAGTAGGTGATGTGGTCTTACATAGTTTACCCTCTCAGGGGTACTCTTGTTCTACGCACGAACTAGCATGAGTATCACCCTAAACCATGAAATGTCCAACATATATTTATCTGTGACTTTATCACGAGTCACGAAGAATGACTGAGAGATAGGAAAACGTAGTTTTTGAACACATGGTCTGTATAAATATAGTCTGAATTATCTCTGTTTGTGGAGTCATTCTTATATGCTGGTCAGATTAAACAGATGGCAGCCAGGTACCAGTACGACATTTTGCGTATTTTATTAGATTTTAATTTACATATAAATCATTCTATCAATAATACGTCAAATCTGGAAACATCTTCCACATGTCTGAAATAAAACGTTTGAGTGAGTGAGTTTTGTTTTACGCCGCTTTTAGCAATATTCCAGAAATATCACGGCGGGGGACACCAGAATAAAACGTTTGAAAGCTTTACTAAGGCCTTGAATGTGGTAACCTTGATAAAACCATTTTTAGCAAGACATGTATGACGCTCTTTGAAATGTTCGAAGAAGAGCATGATTAATTTACCTCAAAGCTGTAGACCAAAGGCTGAAGCTGTTGGAATATTGTTCGACATCAGGCAAAAAAAGAAAACGAAACATATGTTTCTCATTGCCGTGCGGATCATTCACAAATATACGTGGGAGGGAGATAAAGTGAGGAGGGAGATATGACTTTTTATTGTATAGTTCACCTGGCTGAAATTCAACTGAGCTTATGTCGTGCCCTGTTTTTCGGTAATCCGTGATCCGTCGTAAACATCTTCTCCACAGAAACCACTGGACCAAAAAAGTAAAATGTCATATGTTAGTTCCAACAAATGATAACAACCCGAATTGTTCAACAATTTCAAATCCGATTTTCAATATGGCCGCCGCGACTGCCATATTGATAAACCTATTTATGACCCATGGGGTCATATGGGAATGAAATTTGGCATAGTTGTTGTTCTTGTATTGTATATATGTTCAGTGTTTTAATGATATTTTGAATTTTGACTTTGTCAGGTGTCCCACGCCGTGATATTGCTGGAATATTGCTAAAAGCGGCGTAAAACCATACTCACTGACTCACTCACTCCATTACATTATGCCAAGGGCATACTGGCTCTGTAAACAAAGTCGGTTTCACATGAATTTGATTTCATTTTATTATCAATAGAAGTAACAGACGCGCAGGATTTAAAGTGACGCGCTGCCGATGTCCGGGGACCTTTTTCCTATTGTAAGCCTTAAACAGGCGTCTTGTCACAACCCAGTGTCAAAAGACTGCTGCCTTCTATCTGTATGTGATGTGTGTTTGTTTCAGGTGTACGTGCAGATATTCATCTCTGTTGCTTTGTCAGTACTAATTTGTCATATTTTGGTTGCAGTTCAACTTTTTGGATATTGTTCTTTGGGCTTTTCGTAAGTGCCTCTTGTCTACCCACGGACCAGCATGCTACGAACGAGACCCGTATTCTCTACAGGAATCTTTTGATGATGGCCAGAAATCCAAACGTCTTCATGTTTGGTCATGCCAGCGACACATGGACCGGTTCATCTGGTGGCCACGCCCCTTATGCCATCATTACAAATACGAGTAATCAAGGTTGGAAATATACAGTATGTACCTATTCTGTGGCACAGATGACATTATATACATTCTCTAACGAGAAGGTAGACGCCAATCTGTGTCAATAACCCTAGTAATGCATTGATGAACTAGTTTATACATTTTAGAAATATAGGAAAGAATTGTGTCTAGTTTATAAATATGAGCAATATCAATACAAAATGTTCCAGTGGGAATTCCGAGTTAGGTCCCCAGCAAACCATGCTGGTCGTAAGAAGGAACCAAATGGAGTGGGTGGTCAGGCAAAGTGACTCGATTGGTCGCATGTTATTGTTCCCCGACGACGTTAATCATTGCTCATACTATCCAAAACTGGATTGTCTGGACCAGACACGAGTATTTACAGGTCGCCGTCAAAGTTGGTTGGTTGGTTTGTTGTTCAACGCCGCACTCAGCAATATTCAAACTATATGACGGCGGTCTGTAAATAATCGAATCTGGACCAGTCAATCCAGTGAGCATCGATCCACGCAGTTGGGATCGAAGACATGCATCAACCAAGTCAGCGAGCCTGACCACCCGATCCCGTAGGTCGCCTTTTACGAGAAGCATAGTCGCCTTTTACGGCAATTATGGGTTGCTGAAGATCTATTCTACCCCGGATCTTCACGGGTCCGCCGTCAAAGAGCTGGAATATTGCTCAGTGCGATGTGAAACAACAAACAAACTATACAATGTTTATGAATATACAATTAAAACAGTATTGTACTTCAGATAACATTCTCTACTATAGATACAATATTCGCGGAAACAAATAAAAAAACCATTAATGGTTGTGAGCAGAGTGACAGACGAAGGTCACAACCCTCTTCGGGTTTTTACACAACTGTCAATGTGTCCTGTCTAACATCGAGCATCTTCAGTGAAATCATCATATCATAATCATGTCAGGAAAGAAATGTGCCAGTACTGTACCGATACTTGTATTTGATTCTTTAACAGGTTGAACAGGCAATGACAGATTCCCCTGATGAGTTGTCCGACGTGAAGAGCGTGACTGGGCAGTACGCAGCAGTCATTGACTTCGGGATGTGGCAGCTGAGTCATGACCGAAAAATAATTCTGTCCCATCTTATCAAGACCGCCCACAAGCGTGGTGTGATTGCAACTCTGAGCCAGCATCTGTATAACCCCATCACAGGGGGAAGACCGTGGGTGGAAGAGGACAATGGTACTGTCCTCCATACCGTCAGGCGTCTCTTACCAGGAGGAGATACCAATTGGAAGTTCCAGAAGAATCTCGACACGATCGCCGATCTCGCTCATAACCTGACGGACGACCAGGGGAAGCTTATACCTGTTCTCTACAGACCTCTTCACGAGCTTAATGGAGACTGGTTTTGGTGGGGATTGGGAAATAAGGTTCAAAACACAGAAGATGACCTGAAATCATTTTATCGATACATAGTTACGTATCTACGTGATCATAAGAATGTTCACAACTTCCTGTATGTTTACAGCCCGGACAAGTTCACGGACAAAACAGATTATCTCAAGGTGTACCCTGGTGATGATTATGTTGACGTTATAGCCACGGATTTCTACTACAAGACGCCAGCAGATAAGTCAAGTGACTTTCATACGGCAGTCAAGCAGATAGTGGAGATAGCCGAATCCAGAAATAAAATAGTTGCAGTGTCAGAGGCTGGAATTTTTGATAACGCCATTGATAAGCAGACTAATTTCTGGAACGAAAAGATCCTTGATGCCATACAGAATGACCCCATCACTCGACGTATTGCATATATCCTGACATGGGCAAATCAGTGCAACAACAATGACTGTTCCGTGTGGGTGCCTTATAAAGGCCACCCTGCTGAAAATGACTTCAGACAAAACTTCTTTAATAACCCCATGACCCTGTTTGGAAGTGACATCCCAAACATGTACAAATGAAATATATGCTTATATAATTGGCGTATGGAAAGGGTGTTGTGTGGTAGAGCGTTTTCATGTTCCCATTGTCTTATTCAAATAAATAGACTTGTTTAGAATTGAATCATGACTTACTGCTTGCTATTTACTGTTGTACGTCAATGTAAGATTTTGAATATGTTAAAGAATGAGGTATTGAAAGAGTTCAAATGTATCTCCTTAGTGATGATGTCAGACAGGGGAAAGCAAGTTTTTATCAACTGAGGAAATTTTCTTTCTTCCGACCTTGACGAATGCATATTTCAAATCGTTATGTTTTCATTCTCTAAAACTACAAACATACATGTTGAAAGTGGATGTGTAATCTTATTAAGTTTACATCTATTACTCGGATACGATACCTGTCTGAGTGATATTGTTTGTTTGTTTGTTTGTTGTTTAAAGCCGGATTTCAATGTGTTGTCTGGTCCAGACTCGATTCTTTACAGACCACCGTCTTATAGTGAGTTATTGAGTGAGTTGGGTTTAACACCGCTTTTAACAGTATTCAAGTTATATCACGGCGTGTCAGCTTAATGTGGGAGGAAATCCCGAAGTAATGCAGGTCTCAGACGTTTACCACTTCGATGAAACCCACGAGCACGGGTATGGTGCTGACAAATCTAGAAACATAATCGGGGCGAACTGGGATTCGAACCCACAATCATGGGTTTCTTGCGAGCCCAAGGGACGTAGCTCTGCACACCGAATCGCTGCGTCTTAGACGACTGGGCCAGCCGTGCCCCCCAGTGAATGAGTGAGTCGGGTTTAACGCCGCTTTTAACAGTATTCCAGTTATATCACGGCGTGTCGGCTTAATGTGGGAGGAAATCCCGAAGTAATGCAGGTCTCAGACGTTTACCACTTCGGTGAAACCCACGAGCACGGGTATGGTGCTGACAAATCTAGAAACATAATCGGGGCGAACCGGGATTCGCGCCGTCATTTAGCTGAGTGACAAATAGTCACAAACATCATATCTCGTCCTACATTCTATTATTGTCCATAGATTAATCATGTTCATGAGAAGTTATAGGTATTGCAACATATGGTCACGTCAATCCAGATAACGTTACCTATAAAGTTGAGACATGAAGCTTGCATAATACCATTTGAAATGGATCCTATCACAATGACAATAAGGTAAAGTGGTAACATTTTGCCGTTTGTAAAGTTTAATCCATGCATGCAGTCCTACGTGGGGTAAAAATATAGTTGATGTTTGAGAAATAGAGATTATTAACCGAGTGTTTCCGTCTCGTAAATTTCATATATTCGGTATAACAATTGTGATATCTGATGATGGACAGGTCACCAGAAACTGTACAGTGGAAACATGAAATACTTAAGACTGAAGCCAAACCGCAAGTAGTGACATTAAACTCTTATTAAGCTAGCTAGAAGCATTGAAAATTCACGTTCCAAAGTACTACTGCATTTGTTTTCCCAAACCGGAAGTATTGCCATTAAAACGGAAGTGCTAGTGTCCTTGTCATTGAGGTATTAAGAGGCATAAAAAAATATATGTGCATTGGATATTTGTTTCCCAAAATAGGAGTGCTTATAACTTAATTTAGGAGAGCTAAAGACACAGGACTAAGTTGTACTTCATTGGACAGCATTAGAGATGAATGCAGATATATATACTCTGCAGCAAAAATAAACAACGCAAAAGTTATTTTGGTTTTGTATATATTAGATATCATATAAATAATCAACAGATTGTAATCGAATTTTGGAAATTTGCACGCATCAAATTCATTGACCCAGATTCCATATGGCATATATGGAACAGTAGATTTTCAAGGTGAAAGACATCTGTGCTCATTTATTTTGTATAGCCATCATTACAGTCACAAATTGACCGGCATCGTCGTCCAATGGAAGCAGTCAGATTCCTGGACCGTGAAGATCCGTGATAGAAAAGATCTTCACAAAGCCATGCTTGCCGTAAAAGGCGACTATGCTTGTCGTAAGAGGCGACTAACGGGATCGGGTGGTCAGGCTCGCTGACTTGGTTGATGCATGGCATCGATCCCAATTGCGTGGATGGAAGCTCATGATGTTAATCACTGGATTGTCTGGTCCAGGTTCGATCATTTACAGACCGTCGTCATATAGCTGGAATATTGCTGAGTCGGGCGTTAAACAACCAACCATTCAGATTTCGAATTGTGACCTGGGGAATTTTCATCCCCTCTTCCTGCAATGCTTGTTCGCAGTCGTTGATCCAGTGCATCTCATAAATGTTCGATTGGGTTTAAATCTAGAGACCTGAAGGTCAATGGCCGAACCTGGATGTTGTGATTGCTGCGAAAAAGGCTGTTGTCTGTCTTGTCTTGTGAGGTCGGACGTTGTCTTGTTCGCGTGTTACATAATGAGAAGAACGTGTGGCCGAAGAATCTCATCCGTGCAGCAAGTCTGTTCTACCAGTGTAGGAGATAGCTGCCCACATCATCACACCACCACCGCCAAATCTGTCCATTTCCTGTATGCAGTTTCGTGCACAACGTCCCCCGCGACGCCTGTAAACACGACGTCACTCATCCGCACGTCGAAGCATAAAACGAGACTCATCGCAAAACCAAACTGGTCTCTATCGCAGTTGTGGTCATACTCTGTGACCTAGAAACCACTGACGTCGCAGCCGACGACGCAGGTCCTTCAAAATGCCCCCTCGAACAGGTCGTCTTGAGCGAATAGGTTCCTCACTGTCTGGGCTGACTGCATCCTGGTACTGCCGTGGTTGTAGAGGTGGTAGTGATGGTTCTTCCTCATGAGTGACGTAGCCGTATGAATCTGTCTTGTGCTCTTGTAGTGATACGTGGTCAACCGGATCGGCGAAGGTCACGTGTTGTGCCGTGTGTCTGATAACTGTTCCACTGTCTTGTAATCTGGCTACGGCCGAAGATGGTACGCCTCCATGCAGTCGGCCGCTGGCGTTGTTGCATTGGGCTTCCGACACTCGTGGCATGTTTTTAGTGTTCACTTGTATAAGATTGTGTTGGCATGCAAATGAAAACCCAACGTTTTTATAGACCAACAAGTGATGTTGCACGTGCATGTCATGTTGGTGTGTTTCGGCGCCAGGCTCTCAATTGGTTGTGTTTTTGCGTGATTTGCATCTTTTAACAAAATTTCTGCAGTACCTCATTTTTTCTCCACAAAGAAATTCAAATCCATGCAGATTAAACCAATTGATTTTTGGTAATAATTTTGTATGGATATCTGCAACACTCGGATATTTACGATTTTACTAATTTTGCGGGGTTTTTTTGCAGAGTATATTAGTGAGATCAGCTATCACCTGATTTGGTGAAGTCAAAATGGTTTATGATACATGTTCCAGGAGAAAAGGTTTTGGGTTTTCAGGAAAAGGTGGGCATGAGGCCGTTTCGGGGTTTTCAATGCCTTGCAATCACCTTTTTAGTTAATATACTAGCAACCAAATACAACTGTGCTGAGGATAAAATCAAATACCCAGTTCCTTTCACAGTGCAGCATATTTATCAACCAATAACCCAAACGACTTTCTATCGCAGCTACATATTCACAACATTGTTGCTACCTGTCCTCCCATATGGTTTGTGTGCGCCAGTGGATCAGCATGCAACGCCAGAGACACGTCACCTCTACAAGAACCTCATGACCATGGCCAGAAACCCGAATGCCATCATGTTTGGTCATTCCAGCGACACATGGACTGGTGCATATGGTGGACATGCCACTTATGACGTCGTCACAAATACGACAAACAAAGGTTGGAGATATACAGTAAGTACCTCTTTGACGACATTTCATTTTGCTGCTGTGCTGACGTTACATAGTCATGTGTATTTGATCAACTTCAGTCATGTTTGAATGAGAAGAAGTATAGGCATAAAATGACTCGATAGTGACTATTAACTGAGTGAGTGAATGTTGTTTTATGTCAATGTTTGTTGTTTATGACTGCGGTCTAGACCAGACAATCCAGTGACTGATATCATGTGCATCGATCCATGCAGTTGGGATATGATAACATGCACCAACAAAGTGAGCAAGCCGATACCGATCCAGTTAGTCGCCTCTGGGTTGCTGAAGACCTATTCTGACCCAGAACTTCGCGGGTATTTACGTCAGAGTCAACAGTATTCAAGCTATATTATTATGACATGTAAATGACCGAATAATTCTGGGCCAGTCACACTTGCTAATAGCACCAGTGTTAAACAAGATGCCAAGTCGCACCTACAATAGTCGGATCCGATGTTTTATGGTCCGGAACAGACCATCCAGTGATTCATTTTATGAGTATCGACCAACGTCGGCGGTATACGGTTGATGACACACAATCAACCAATTCACAGAGTCTGACTACCTGATCCATTTAGTTGTATCGTATGACAAACACAGGCTGTGTGCGACCAATGCAAACCCGCAATTTCCTTGGGGACAGTTCCAGCACATATTTTGGATAGCGAGGTTCTTTTCTGTGCTGATATCTGTGCTGGCTCCACAGGGGAATCTCAAATGAAATCATTGTTGACAAATCATTATGCTCAATATCAATAGATGTTAAGAAGGAAGATAGTATTGCACACGTTTAACCGACCAGTGTTTGTTTGTTTATTTCTTGTTTAACGCCGCACTTAGCAATATTCAAGCTTATATGACGGCGGTCTGTAAATAATCGAGTCTGGACCAGACAATCCAGTGACTGACACCATGAACATCGATCCACACAATTGGGATACGATGACATGCATCAAACCAAGTCAGCGAGCCTGACCACCCGATTCCGTTAGTCACATCTTACGACAAGCATAGTCGCCTTTTACGGCAAGCATTGGTGGCTGAATATCTATTCTACCCCGAATCTTCACGGGTCACCAGTGTTAATAAAATTAACAAACCCTGAACCCTGGTGATCTTTGTCGTTCATATACTTACAGGCTGAACAGGCAATGAAAGATTCCCCTGATGAGTTGTCCGACGTGAAGAGCGTGACTGGGCAGTACGCAGCAGTCATTGACTTAGGGATGTGGCAGCTGAGTGATGACCGAAACATAGTTGTATCCCATCTTGTCAAGACCGCCCTCAAGCGTGGTGTGATTGCAACTCTGAGCCAGCATCTGTATAACCCCATCACAGGGGGAAGACCGTGGGTGGAAGAGGACAATGGTACTGTCCTCCATACCGTCAGGCGTCTCTTACCAGGAGGAGATACCAATTGGAAGTTCCAGAAGAATCTCGACACCATCGCCGAAGTTGCTCATAACCTGACGGACGACCAGGGGAAGCTTATACCTGTTCTCTACAGACCTCTTCACGAGCTTAATGGAGACTGGTTTTGGTGGGGATTGGGAAATAAGGTTCAAAATACAGAAGATGATCTGAAATCCTTTTATCGATACATAGTTACGTATCTACGTGATCATAAAAAAGTTCACAACTTCCTGTATGTTTTCAGCCCGGACAAGTTCACGGACAAAGCAGATTATCTCAAGGTGTATCCTGGTGATGATTATGTTGATGTTATAGCCACGGATTTCTATTACACATCACCTTCGGTTAAGACAAGTGACTTTTCTAGAATAGTGAAACAGCTAGTGGAGATAGCCGAGTCAAGAAACAAGATAGCGGCAGTGTCAGAGGCCGGGCTTTTTAACAATGGCATTGATCAGCAGACTAATTTCTGGAACGAAAAGATTCTTGATGTCATCAAAACTGACCCCACTAGTCGCCGTATTGCATATATTCTCACATGGGCAAACCATTGTGGCAACAATAAGTGCGAATTGTGGGTGCCTTACAAAGGTCACCCTGCTGAGAATGACTTCAGGAACAACTTCTTCAATGACCCCATTACCATGTTTGGGGATGATATTCCAGATATGTTCAAGTGAAACGTTCTTAAGATATAAATAAAGGTCAAAATCGTTTTATAATATCTTGGATATCACCGTGAGATATTTGATGACCAATAAAACATAATGATCAGAAAGACAGCCTCACAACTGTTGATATACTGCACGTGGAAGTTTCAGAAAGTTTCATTTTCTGTTTGTCTGAGGTGCTTGTCGTAGCAGGCGACGAACGGGATCGGGTGTCTGGACCTGACAATCCAGTGATTGATATCATGAGCATCGATCCACGCAATTGGGATCGATGACAGGCTTCAACCAAGTCAGCAAGCCTGACCATCCAATCCAGTTAGCCGCCTCTTACGACAAGTATAGACGCCGTTTATCCCAAGCATGGGTTGCTGAAGACCTATTCTAACCCGGATCTTCGCGGGTCCCATGGTTTATTAATTGAACCATCGATGGAATGTAATTGTCTACAGCCCGACGTCAGTTCTTCGAAAGTTAAATTTCAGTACTTATTATGGATAGCGTATTAGACTGTCGTTAGTTTCGTTAATCGTTTAACGCCGCACTCATCAATATTTCACCAAAACGACAATTTGGACAGGTTCAATATCACCTACCCATAATACAAGATATTCGCAGAAACGGATGTCATAGAGCTCTCAGGCAAATCCTTACTTCCGGTCCTTTCAGAACTAAATAATATGTCCTTCGATCACGTGTTTTTTTTAAAGCCACATTAGCATTATCCAATGCCAGTACTCAGAACATCCAAATACAAACTTATTCACAGCATTTTTCCCAATACCCCGTATCCCATAGCAACGGATATATATTTACCTCCTACAAGATCAAGTGTTGACCCTTGAGTATGGTTCAAGTCAATATCTGAATATTATTATGGATTTAAATGGGAGCTTAATGCTATTAGCGCTGATTTCAAGGAAAGGATGAATTCGTCTTACCAACCGGTACTGGAGAATCCCCCCAGAAGCATCTGTACGCCTGGCTTTTGGTGACCGATGACCCCAGAGTGTCAATGACTTTCATAGTTTAGGGGAGAAATTTGTTTAAACTTTGTAAAGTGTTCACGTTGTCACTTCACATTAACCTTATAAAAGTCTCAACATTTGGCGGGTTGATTAGATGTCATTGGTGTGAAAAAGCGCGATATTTCCTGCACCAAAATATCGGTCACAAATTATCAGCACATAGAAACTTGTCATCACTGTTAAGAAGGAGCGAACGCGTTCACCATATGGTATATTGTCATGACGTCCTCATTTTAGTCGAAAGTGTCACATCGAAACATGATATTATTCTACGTTGATAAAGAGGAAGATCACGAGTTAAAGATCTGTCTACACCGAGTATTGTGTTAACCTGGGACTCAGTATTTACATGTAGTTGAACCCTGGAACGAATGATGCCAGTTTTGTTTTCCATAATAATAAGGGTAGAAAGATCTTGTGTAAGTACTTTGCAATATTAACACTTGTGCATTTAGGCAATTCTCAATGCTGGTGTGTTAGTTGAAACCAAATGACGCCACAGTGCTTCGTTGTGAAAAAAACTACATGACGTCATCCATCGTTCATGACGTCAAAAATTAATCAGATTTCGTAATAACAGTGAGCTGGTTTGGGTGAAGTTTCTCTGTATTGTTGACATTTCATACATTTTTATTCATTTTGTTAGTGTAAAATATATAGAATAACCTACTCGAAACACGGAATTTCATATTATTAGTCGCTGAAGGATCGTGACTCACACCATTAATACACTCGGGACAGATTATCTGTAATTCCTCGCAGCTCATTAGTTGTTCTCTAAGTAATACATTGTGTACAACGTATTACACATGTGTTTTCAATTGCACACCCAAAATTTAAAATAAATAACACACTAGTGGTTATGGATATTTAGCACTTTTTAAATTCAAATTTATGTAATATTATAACTTAAAGTTTGAAAAGTGTTTTTTGCATCCTTTGTATTTTTTCGTGTCACAAGTTACACATTCGCAGTTATGCTTCAAAATATAAAGGAAAGATTTAGGAAACATGCCTGGTAAATACATCACATTACAAATGTGAATATGCAACGAATATTCATTGTTCTACATCATTCACCAGAAATGAAGAAGATGCAGAAACGTGGCACTGACTGATATGAACCTGATTCTTGTATCCAGGGTTACACATGAAGCAAAGACAGAACATGAGTGAGTGAGTGAGCTGTTCATCGCCGCTTAGAACAGTGTTAAGTTTTATTACGGTGTGAAATAAAACCCAATGTACCCCAAAGCCATATTTAAGGTGTGTATATGTGTGTGTGCGTGCTTGTTTGTGTGTGTCTATGTGTGTGCGTGCGTGCGTGTGTGTCTATGTTTGTGTGTGTCTGTGTGTATGTCTCTCTCTCAAAACCGTTCAGTATCCTGCCTGTTAAATCCATGATTATTTCGCCCGAGTTGAATATGTATCCTACGCATCAAGAATAGAAATTCTTATTTGCTATGTATTATTTGTTATGAGTGAGCAATATTTCAGTCACATTATGCTTTTGTTTCTTTGTTGTTTAACGCCGCACTCAGCAATATTTCTGCTCTATGACGGCGGTCTGTAAATAATCGAGTCTGGACCAGACAATCCATTGATTGATATCATGAGCATCGATCCAGTCATATTATGGAGGAAGACGCCGCGAATAGGAGTACCAACGTGGGGAATCGATCTCGGACCTTCGGCGTGAGGTAGAAACCTCCTCTATGCCTTCAGTGTAATAAATATCAGTATACGTTACCATTTTTTGTATTTTCCTCACGATAATGAGTGTATGAGTCGAATCTGTTTCCGTGTCAATGATATCAGTATCACTTATCACTCTTTGTACTTTCCTCAAGATAAACAAGGTCATAAACGAAACCAAAATTATTGCCTAATTTACAATTTGATCTTAAATCACATTTTGACGGTTTCGAGTGGGAAGTGAATGGTCCTGATCAGCAAATGAAAACCTTCTGGTTCACTTTTCATGCGCTCCGACTTCATCAAAGATAAGGACTCTGCAGGGTTGTTGTTCTAATCAACACACCGTACATGAACCCGTTCAGAGAGCCTACCCTTGAAAAACTGAATCTGTGTCGCTTGGTTGACACTCATTTCCAGCAGTACAGAACCTTCTTCAAAATACACATTAACATTGAGATTGTGTCCTTCATCTCTGGCTCATTTTAGAAAATTCTTGAATGCCTTAAGCTTGTTTTCATTATGAATCTTGACATGCTCCTCAAGAGGGTCATCATATATTATTAGTATCGAAGTTCCACTGAGAATGCAATCGACCTCCCGAAACTCAATACAAATGTTATATCAGGACAATTATACTAAGCTGACTCGTAGCTTACTCTTCGGTGACTCTTAGTTGACATTCGTTTAAGCATTTGACAAATAGCAAGTGAAACAAGTTGCTGTGGTTTCAACTTTGGGAGACTACGACTGTATGAGCTACCTTTCAGTTTCACACACGAGTGAGCTATACACAAACATGGGACATGACCAGACTGTTACCTTAATAATGTTGGTATTACATGTACATTGCTCAGGGTTGCAGCATTCAAGGCCTGAGAAAAGGTTTTGAAACATTATATGGCAGACACGTGGAGGACATTTCCAAATGTGACGCACCAGTGACAAAACAGATGTCCGCCTTTTGACTTGTACCATTTTGACTTACACAGTTGACTGACCTTTGCATGTGTTGGTGACAGGTGCCTCCGTTGAGCAGGATACGCTCACCTTTTCGCGAACACCTAGTATCATCACAAATTGATAGTGATTTATAAACACATGGTTATCATATAGTCGGAATCGTACAATGAATTTTGCTTTCAGCAGAGACTTCTTACAATTGTGGTTAGGTTTTGTCGCTTTTGTAGACATCTGTTAACGTAATGTTCATTGGGATTTTAGCATTTGTTGTTCTTATCAATGAAGACAATGATATCCATTGCCTGGGAAATGTGTTCACTAAGTTATCAATAAATGCATATTTTATTATGACTTTCCAAAAAGCACATTATATGATTTCAAATGACAACACGCCGCTTTTGTTCCCTAATCAAGCAAATGACAGCTTCGTGCTTCTTATAAGACCGAGTATATCTCGGGTGACCTTGACATGCAAGACGTCGTGTCTATTGTCGACAAAACGTTTCAATCATGAGAAGACTTCGGCATGATTTTGTGGTATTCTTTGTTATATGGTCAATATCTCTCTTCAATGGATTTGCACAGGATACTAACACTGACAATAACATTATCGCTAAAAAGAACGTGGTCCTCATTTTGGGTAAGTATGTCTGGTCAAGAAGGCAACGTCTTGGAGCCTTTTAAACTCTCTAAAACGTCAATATTGTTCATATTTACAAATAGAGCTGAGCACTTAATTGATTACCAATTTGTTTTTGTATGTTGAATGAAGCTATATATAAAAATATTTAATTTCTATCGACGCTACAAGAAATGGTACTCGTGGCTGCATGTAAATCGTATCGTTTACGTTGTACAGTTTTATAAGGGAAATGTCTGTTATGCTCAGTGAGTCGGCTGTCTACGATTCGTACATGGCACTGTTTGATATGTACACGTAATAATCTAAGTGTCAAGGAGAGGAGATAGGGCACAACTGTTGGTTTCTCATACCTAGCTTTGTAATCGCACCCACGCTGTTTATGTGCAGAAATGTATTAAACTCTAGATACTGCTGACATAATGTGTTACCGGTAGAGAAGGACATCAGTAAGCCTTTCGCAAAGACTTGCTGTCATCACTGTTATTAGTGGGGCGGTTAAGGCTGGATTTTGTCAAAATTGTGCAGTTTGGGTTAAAAGCACCAAACTTGGCACACTTATACATCTTCAGTAATTCATTCATAATTTTATTATTTTAATCACTATTTTGAATTGAATGCCCAATCGAATCTGTTTCGGTAGAAAATCAAGACTGATTATACTCTACCGCTGACGTTTCATATTTGAGAAAGAAAAGCTAATAAAATGCTATTGGTTATGTGACATTACGTTCTGCGGGGAACAGTTATCTTTCTGAATGCGTCTTCGCAAATTAGAATTATTCAGAACACTTGTTCATACTTGCTGGTGGTATTTGCCTGGCTCTCGGTGTTAACCAAGGGCACTCTGGCTCGGAGTCAATATAATGTGCCTGACTGGAGTATCTTTTATTTCCGACCCGTGAAGATTCCGGTGTAGAATAGGTCTTCTGCAACCCATGCTTGCCGTAAAAGGTGTCTATGCTTGTCGTAAAAGGCGACTAACGGGATCGGGTGGTCAGGCTCGCTGACTTGGTTGATACATGTCATCGATCCAAGTCGCGTGGATGATATTAATCATTGGATTGTCTGGTCCAGACTCGATTATTTACAGACCGCCGTCATATAGCTGAAATATTGCTGTGTGCGGCGTTAAACAATAAACAAACAAACCAACCAGTCTTTTGATTTCCACTGCGGCATCTTATCATAAGTGGGCAAGCAACATAAAACCGGCATTAGTCCGGAATAGTACAAGCAGCCACACGCACACGTGCATGCACGTCGCTATATGAGTGAAATAATCTTGAACGTTACGTGAACATACATTTCACCTCGCCTCACCCCACCTTATAGTGAGTGAGTTGGGTTTAACGCCGCTTTTAACAGTATTCCAGTTATTTCACGGCGTGTCAGCTTAATGTGGGAGGAAAGCCCGAAGTGATGCAGGTCTCAGACGTCTACCACTTCGGTGAAACCCACAAGCACGGGTATGGTGCTGACAAACCTAGAAACATAATTAGGTTGAACCGGGATTCGAACCCACAATCATAGGTTTCTGGCGTGCCCAAGGGACGCAACTCTGCACAGCGAATCGCGGCGCCTTAGACAACTGGTCCACCCGTGCCCCAAACTCGCCATGATGCCAATATTATACAGTTTTATGAAAAGAATGTTCAAGGCATATATATATCTAAAGACTACAGCAGTATAGAACTGCATGTAACTGATCTTAACAGGCGCCCTGAACATTCTTTTTATAAAACTGTCACTGTAATACTGATCTCATGGCCAGTCAATACGAATACAATGTCTCTATGTATGTCTGTCTGTCTAAATCTCTAGACTAGAGGCAAATGTTAAAGTCTCTCATTTGGATCAGTGATGGTTGTGTTGATGTGACAATACGTTGGCAATATATTAATATTTTACTTTCAGCAATGTATGACACGTTTTTCTCTGAACAACATTAAAGCGTTTGTAGTAAACGTTCTTTATTCCACTGAAGGCGACGATGCGGGTTTCGAGATGGGAGCCTATAACAACACGGCCTGCAAGACACCAAATTTTGATAAACTTGCCTCCAGGGGTGTAACGTTTGATAACGCCTTCACCACCGTCAGCAGCTGCTCGCCAAGCAGGTAGGACATCCCGTGCCTTTCGTCACCACTCGCCCCTTTCCGTAACCTGTAAGAAGACTCGTCCCCACTAGCGATGAATGTTATGTACGAAAGTACGACAAACCAATCAGAATGCGCGTATGACTTCAAGTACTTCGGTTAAAGAATCCCTCAGGAACATTGTTTTAATTTGACATATGTCTTGCAATCAAAAATAATCCCATGATACAGTTAAAGGTTTTCCATCATACTGCATTATACTGTTAGTTCCGATGCGGTTTCAATAGCATCTTGAATTTGTATGATATATGGCAGACTATGCGTGAATCATTACGCAACGAGTTGACAATTCTTTTAGCTATGCCCGTTTGCGCTTAGACGGAACCCAGTCGCTATTCGGCTTGTCCCAGACGTTTTTCAAGAATAATTTCGTGCATGTGTTACCATTTCTCTGATATCAGGATAAAAGATATGGAGGATATTTGCCATCTCGTCAAAATCCTGGCAACATGTGGAAATTAGTGATGGAAACTCTACATCTTATCAAGTGACTTAATATCACGAGAAAAGATGCGATTTGTAAATATTAGCCTAAACGTTTATTTATTGTGTATGTCCTTATCGATATTAATCTAAAACATAAAACATTAATGTCACATACAGGAGCACCGAAAAGAAGTGTCTTTGTTCAGAAACTAATTATTCGTCACAAAAGCCTCATGGTAGCACATTGGGAGCATAAATATGTTTTTTATAAATTGTATTATCGTGTATTTTTGTTTTAATTTCAAATATTTTCTCGCAGCCACGGAGGAATGAAATTCTAGTATATCTAGAGAAATAATCGAAATTACGAGAAAAAGCTCGAAGTGAAGATATATTATTTATTATATAATGCCTTTTGCGCCAAATGGAACCCGTTTCGTCGTATAATCCAGACTGGCAATTCTCTGGCGTTGACGCTTTATGTTTACATGATCGAAAACATGAGAAAAATTCCAAAGTTTTACCATTAGGCTTCCGTAGTTTGGCTTCCCCTTGTGTATCTTGAAGCAGTAACGGAAAGAAATATATTGTCTCCAACAAAAGTCCCAGGTCCCCGTGGACCTAACGTTGGCGAAGGACTTTACATTGTTTCATATAACCCGTGGTCATTTAATGAGAAAAAGTAGGTTTACAAATGGAGACATCAGTTAAATCAATCTTATTGTTGATAAATCGTCATCAATACTTCACGGGTTATACCATCCACGTTTCTTGTCTGTGTAATCGCTAAAAATATTAACCAACGAATCACGCCACGGCGAGTTTCAGTTTCTTCACGTGCCATGGCCTTGTGCATGGGCGGATACAGAGAGGGGATGGGGGGGGGGGGGGGTGAAAAAAATCTTTATTTCTGTATAAAGACCACCAAAGACAATAAATAGATCTTAATTGTGCACCCCCCCTTTTCAAAAAAGCTGTATCCGCCCATGCTTGTGGTCTCTTCACTACTCCTCTCTTTCAATGTCCTGCAACGGCTAGGTTAATCTGTCTTCTGTGAGTTCCACACGCTCACACTTCATTACGTGGCTAAAATAGACACGCGTCACTTTTACACCGAAAAAAGGGCAAACCCGTGAAGAATTGGTTATGTTAAAAGACTGTGACTTCTTGTACAAAGGATACGTCGCATTCAATGTGTAGTGCGGGTGCCCCTGAAGATCCGGGTTAGAATTGGTCCAGCAACCGTTATTGTCGAAAGAGGCGGCTGATGAGATCGGGTGTTCAGGCTCGGTGACAAGGTTGATGCATGTCATCGTATTCCATTTACGTACATCAATGTTCGTGATGTCAGTCACAGGATTGTCTGGTCCAGGCTCGATTATTTACAGACCGGCGTCCTGTAGCTGGAATATTGCCGAATGCGGCATAAAACAACACAGAAACTAATAATGTGATAGTAAATTGTCAGTCCTCCGTAATGTTATTAGCTCACCGCGTCCGTCCGTCGTCAAATGGTGGGGCTGACGCCCCAGGAGTCAAATGTATACATTTGTTTGTTTTGAAGAGAATAATACATTTATGCCAATAGGATTTGCCCTGGGGTCCAGCCTTGCCTCTGGAAACTAGTAGATCCTGGATCATAACATGGAAACGGTTCAGGTCTTCAGGAGACGTACACGTTCATGCTGTCAGATTTGCCATCCACCCCCTTTAAATGCTGACAGAGTCAAAATTACGAAATATTTGCAGTATTTTATACATGTACAATGCAAATTTATATTTTGTCATGATAACGTAAATATCCAGGGGAGCGACACAGGCCCTATGGGCCTCTTGTATATGTATCCGGTATGCCCTGATTATATATACGGTATGCCCTGATTATATATACGGTATGCCCTGATTCAGGTCCGCCCTGCTGACGGGTCTACCTCCACACCAGAATGGTATGTTCGGGCTCCATGACTTCAACATGAATTCCTTCAGCACCGTGAAGAGTCTGCCGATGATTCTCCATGAAGCTGGCATCAGAACAGGTGATGTCCACATAGATTAACACAATCTCAAAAAGACCTGAAACTTTGATGGATAATAAGTTCTTTAGTGATTCAAAACTACGATAATCGTGAGTGGTTATTCTCTGGCGTAGACGTTTCATATTTAAGAAAAACTAACTGAATCTTTGTCAAGAAAAGCGACAAATCCCATTTCAATAGTCATAGGACATCTCTTCTAAAAGCAGAGTCCGTCTTTGTCAAAGCGACCGCCTCTGTGGTCTAGTGGTAGAGCGTCCGCCCGGAGAGCGGAAGGTCCGGGCTTCGATCCCCGGCCCCGTCATACAAAAAGACGTTAAAAGATGGAACTTGTTGTTACCCTGTCTGGCGCTCGGCATTAAGGGGCTAAAACAAGGACTGGTCGGCTCGGAGTCAGTATACTGTGTCTGAGTGGGGTATTAATGTTAAACTGCGGCATGGTATCTCAGTGTGCTAGCACTATAAATCGGCATCATTCCGGACTAGTACAAGCAGCCACACACACACACGTGCATGCACGTCGCTATATAAGTGCAATAATCTTGGACGCGACGTTAAACCCCATTTCACCTCACCTTTGTCAAAGCATGTTCCGCTGATGTGAACATCATTTTTATGACAGTAGGCAAATACAATGTCGTTCACACAAGTAAGTTTGAAATGAAGATAACCTTTGATTTTTATTTATCTTCTGATTGCATATGAATAATTATCCGCAAAAGTTACCATATCAATTTGGTAGATTGTTCAGTGAATATATTTTCAGCACCTATATCATTTCAGGCATCGTGGGTAGAAAACATGTCGGCCCTGACTCGGTGTACAAGTTTGACTATGAGCAAACAGAAGAGAATAATCCTATTATACAGGTTGGGCGAAACATAACATTGATGAAACAGTATGTTCAGGAATTCCTGTCACAAAATGATTCCAGGTGAATGAAGCACACTTTTCATATTTTAAAATGGTTTTGAAAAATGACGTAGACAAGATGTACATGTATTATCATTTATATTGTGTCGTTGTTAATGGTCGGACGTGGTCCCGTGTACAGCGCATCAGGTAAACTTAAGCAACGTTGGTTGCGGAGTGTAGGTTGATGGGTGGCTGCGTCTGACAGCAAGACTCGTGAGAGTTTCTCGGGCTTCGGTCCTGTCCCACACTGAAACATATCTAAAATGTTTTTGATCAACGATGGTTGTGGAAAGTAGGCGGATGGGTGACCGCTTCTGGCATCAAGACTCCTGAGAGTTTCTCGGGCTTCGGTCCTGTCCCACACTGAAACATCTAAAATGTTTTTGATCAATGTGCAAGTGAATTTGTTCGAAATGTGCCTCTTTTTCTCCTAGGGGTGTATGGGTACCCGGTAGGATAAAATAGTAAGACTGTTAACCTTCTAGCGCCTCACGTGTAGCTGAGGTTCTATACTCCCCAGCGAGCTGAGTCCACACTGATCCATTGACTGCTGTAACAGTGTAACTCTACCAGCATGCTATAGTCTGTGGATTTGGCACATATCTACATACTCTATGCACATTAAATTCTTGGATGGTACAAAAAGTTATCGGAAGATATATTATGCTTAAGTTAGATCTGACACATTCAAGCATATGTAATATATAACATTTTGTGTGTATTCGCATAGCTTGAATACTGCTGTTGCATCAGGTAACAAACGGGGGCACGGGTGGCCCAGTCGTCTAAGGCGCTGCGATTCGCTGTGCAGAGTTGCGTCCCTTGGGCACGCCAGAAACCTATTGATTGTGGGTTCGAATCCCGGTTCGCATCACTTCGGGCTTTCCTCCCACATTAAGCTGGCACGCCGTGATATAACTGGAATACTGTTAAAAGCGGCGTTAAACCCAACTCACTCACTCACTCAGGTAACAAACTAGACTAACATCTAGTGTCTGAAATGAACATATCGTACAGAAAAAACAGTTGTTCAGTTTTCTTAATGAAAATATAATAAAAAGGAGCCCAGTGACTCTCTTCATTTTCAAATCCTGATACTGCAGTAATCTAGACTTGCCAAACATTATAGACTTGCATGGGCTGTATTTGATATATATTTGTATCAGGGTCTGTAAGACAGACTAGCAACAAACAAACACTTGATGTTTAATGCAAATTGTGTGAATGGCGGCTGCTTCATGTAGGACAAGACATACTAACCTCTAGCGAACACCTGGTGTCATCACTGATTTTCAGTGATCCATTCGTATAATGTTCACCGCTATTTTGCCCTTTACGCCCAATGGAATCTGTTTGGGCGGATAATTGAGACTGGTTATTCTCTGGCATTGACGTTCTACATGTAAGTTGTTTTTAAAAAAAGTGAGTAAACAACCATTGGATTTGATATGCATGTATCATGAGATTATCATTAATATACACACTGTTATGTGCATCCATCGACAGACCTTTCTTCTTGTATATCACATACCATGACCCTCATCGATGCTCGGACATCCCCACGTACGGCCAGTTCTGTGAGAGGTTCGGCAATGGAGAACCAGGCATGGGAAACATACCGGACTGGACGCCGGTCAAGAACTCTCCCGATGACGTCACGATACCTTTCTTTCTACCTAACACCACCGCGACCCGAGTCGACATGGCCAATATGTATACCGCGTACAGCAGAATGGATCAAGGTAACTGCCGGAGTGAGTGAGTGAGTCAGTGAGTATGGTTTTGCGCCGCATTTAGCAATCTTCCAGCTGTAATACCGCCTCCTCGTTTCTACTTGCCTATCGCGGCAATCTTTCGGGTCGCCCGCTAGAGTAAATGCCCTTCATCAAAGGGAAGCTACTCTAACCCTAGTCATGAGACGTAACGTTTGTCTGCCTGTATTGTCATAACTGTACGAAGTGCAGAGCCAGATGTACACTAATAGACACAGTGAAACCAGGTGACAATCGGACATATTTCGGCTGAATCCAACTATTTTAAATTGCGGAGAAGGCCCCAAGCCGCAGAGGTCTTTACGCACAGATATGGACACTGTGTCCTCGCGAAATTGTTTCGCAATTTTTACATCCAAAGTTGCCAAACTTGTAAAATACCACACCTACGTCCCAGTTAGACACTCATCTTCAGTATCTTTGACTATTGTTTTAATAATGATAACAAACAAATACCCATGTAGTTTCTCCAGATTCGCGATGGTTTATTTTGACTCGATCGCCGATTTACAAGGACGACGCCATGATTGTTTGTAAACACGTACAGTAGCACCTACCTGACCTTTTATATTTGCATCCTTATCCGTATATAACCCAAACGGATACCTCCTTTAACAGTTGGCTTTATCCTGCCGAGAATCCTTCCCATTACAGGATAAATTACTACACTTATATACCATTCCTACAGTAGGTAAGTACAGAGTTTATGTTACTCAGGTTTGGGCTTATTTATGGAGCTGCTGGAAAAGGCGGGCGTCATGAACGACACCCTTGTCGTGTACTCCTCCGACAACGGCATCCCATTCCCTGGAGCGAAGACCAACCTGTACGACCCTGGGATGAGGGAACCGCTGATCATATCCTCCCCACTGCAGACACAGAGCTGGGGAAGCGTAAGAGCCCGGTCATACATTCTGAGGTGGAGGGATGGGGGAGTTTTGTTAGATTTAGACAATATAATCTTAATGGTAGGGGTCGAATTTTTTTATTTTCTTTCATAACATTAATTTTATGACAATTTTTTTTTCTTCCTGTACGTTATGGAAGGAAAACTTTTTCCACGCTATTTCTTTCAGTGCAATTCCATAGAACCGTTATAACAGTCGAAATATCTTTTGCTAAAAAATACTTTTGTTCTCTGCCCAGAATATGACATTAATATGTTACATTTCAGTCGGGTTATAACATTACAGTTGTGAATTGTTGGTTTCTTATAATGGTATATAATACACAAAATTATGAAAGCACAATTGATATTAAATATTTGAAAGTATATAATGAAGACATACTCGGGTTCACATAAATATCCCCCAAAACTTATCTCTTATTGCATTTTTCAGAAAACGGATGCCATGGCCAGTTTAATTGATATTGTACCAACGGTTTTGGACTGGTATTCTGTTAAGTACCCAACTTACAGGATAAAACCATATCTCCCTCCCGCCGTTCTCACCGGCAAATCACTGCTTCCGGTTTTGGAATATCCTTCCGCGACCCAGCTGCCCAATTTTGATGCTGTCTTCTCGAGTCACAACTTCCACGAAATAACCATGTATTTCCCAATGAGAGTCATTCGCACAGTAGAGAAGTTCAAATTGATACACAATCTCAACATGGGGCTCTCCTTTCCCATCGCTACGGATCTGTATCAGGCGCCATCTTTTCAAGAAATTCTCAACAACACGAAATCCGGGAAGCCTACGTACTGGTACAGGACTCTAGGCGACTACTATCACCGTGCGCCCTTTGAACTTTATGACCTTAACCTTGACCCCAAGGAACAGATGAACCTATGCAACGAGCCATCTCTGTTTGCCATTCTGGATGCACTGAAAACGAGGCTACGTGCGTGGCAGAATGCCACTCACGACCCCTGGTACTGCTATCCAGGAGCTGTCTTAGAGAGAACGTACTGCGGGCCTCTGTACAATGGTGAATATTGAGTAAAGAAAATGTACAATCGCCGTTATAGTGGTTTCTGTTCTGCAGTACTGTCTTCTATTTTGCTTCTGTTAAAGCTGTGGGGCGGTCGGGTAGCCTAGTGGTTAAAGCGTCCGCTCGTCATGCCGAAGACCCGGGTTCGATTCCCGATATGGGTATAATGTGTGTACAATGTACAATTTCTGGTGTCCCCCGCCGTGATATTGCTGGAATTTTGCTAAAAGCGGCGTAAAATCATACTCAGTCAGTCTGTTAAAGCTGTAAACTAAAACACTACAAAAGACGCAACTCTCGTTCACTCTCTCACAAGTACGTTGCTGTGATGATTCAGCTAATGAATTGTATTTAATGCCGTTAGGTTGAGTTTGTGTCATTATACATCTGCTTTGCTGATTTCAAACAGAAACAACTCTTAATTCAAATATATGACAACACACAAATACAAGCAAGTGATTTTATTATACGTTCATTTTCATCTATGAATAAACATTTCCTATTCTATCGAGAAAATATGTTACAGGGTCTTTGAAGAAGTTGTTCACAAAATACTTTTCAGATGGATGTCCTTTATATGGAATGTAGACCTCACATCGTCCCTGTCCGAAACAGTGGTTAGACCAGGCATAGACATAGGCTATCCGACTAGCCTTTGGACTGGATTTGATCACGTCAAGGATATGATCATTCCAGAAGTTGTGGACCTTGTCAAACACATTAGAGCGAATGCCTGTTTCCGTCAAAGTAGCGATCTTCCCACGCTGTTCTGCAATGTCCACCAATTGCTCCAGCGTGCGCTTGAAGTCATCGGTCGATGGATGATTGCCGTCATCGAAATAGTAGTCAGTTCCTATAACGTCAACGTAGTCATCCCCGGGATACACCTTTAGATAATCAGCTTCATCTTTGAACTTGTCTGGACAAATGGCATAGAGGATATTGTGCACACCCTTCGTATCTCGTAGGTAGGTTACAAGGTATCTGAAAAGATTCTGGACGTCTTGTACTGAGTTTTGAGCCTTGTTGTTCAACCCCCACCAGAACCATTCTCAATTCTGTTCATGGAGTGCTCGATATATGATAGGAATCAATGTACCATTTGAATCCTTTAGGTTAAGCGCCCAGTCAGCAATTTTATCCAGGTTCTGTCGGTACACGTGGTTGAAGTCCCCTCCAGGGAGAAGACGTCTAACAATGTGGACGAACTGACCAGGATCTCTTTCCACCCATGCTGACCCATTGGTGATAGGGTTATCTAGATGCTGGGTTACTGTGACGATTTGGCCCCGAGCATGAGCCAACTTCGCCAAGTAGGACATGGTAAACATATGGTCGTCAACTATCTGGAAGAAGTCAAAGCCAGTGAGGGCTGGTCGCTGCCCTGTCATGTCCAAAACGTCTGATAGGGCATCAGGTAGGGCATTCTGGAAAGTGAATGAGAGAGTTGGGTTTAACCCCGCTTTAGACAGACTGAGTATTCCAGTTATATCACGGCGTGTCAGCTTAATGTGGGTGGAAAGCCCGAAGTGATGCAGGTCTCAGACGTTTACCACTTCGGTGAAACCAGCGAGCACGGGTATGGTGCTGACCCCAACCCGGGACCCGAACCCACAATTATAGGTTTCTGGCGTGCCCAGTGGACGCAATTCTGCACACCGAATCTCGGCGCCTTAAGCGACTGGGCCACCCGTGCCCCCGATTCTGGAAACAGCAGGAATATTAGAGAAATGAAAGTGATATATGGCTGTAGCTTAATTTATGTTTTTATAACAGTGGCCCACATTGTATGCTTTAGCATTACGAAATTCAAATAATTGAACAGTTTGGTTCAACTATGGACGCGATAATCACCAGGTGACAAATCCTTGCTGTTCACATCTTTTCACAAATGATATACAATAAACATTGAAAAACGGCAGAGCAGTTTATCATTTTTCAATTTGACAATGGTCCACAGTGAATGTACCAACATGACGAAAACTGAAAGTAGTGTATGAAAACATTGTTCACAATTATATATGGGTCGTTCATACATGCAAGCTAGAACTACAGACAATTCTGTTCGGTTAGGGGCCCATGATGCGAGGAACAATACGTATCACTTCATGATTAATGCACATGTACACAATGCCGTCCACAGGTATTCATGAAGGATAAGGGGCAAGGGTGGCCCAGTCGTCCAAGGCAACGCAATTCGCTGTGCAGAGTTACATCCCTTTGGCAAGCCAGGAACCAATAACCATGGGTTCGAATCCCGGTTCGCCCCGATTATGTTTCACACTTTGTACCCATGTCTAGAATCGAACCCGGGTCTTCGGTGTGACGAACAAACGTTTTACCCATTGGGCGACCCGATCGCCCCTAATTCAAATGAAGTGCGTGCGATAACAAGTGGACATTTTAAAAAGTTTTTTTTTTTTTTTACGTCTATTATTATTTGCAATTTGCTTAGGGGTGTATGGACCAGATATATTCAAGGCAACAATGACAAAAATGCAAATCAGGGCAACTGCCCCCTCCTATCTCCCCGAAACACTACCCTCAACTCATATATTCTATCCAGGGCAAGTTCCTAGAGAGGCAGGTTTCAAAGGGGCAAATTTTCTGGGGGCACTTTTGCGTGGGAGTGGGGATCACTGCGAATTAATGTTGTTTCATTCAATAAACCTACGGGCGGTCGGGTAGCCTAGTGGTTAAAGTGTTCCCTCGTCACGCCGAAGACCCGGGTTCGATTCCCGACATGGGTACAATGTGTGAAGCCCATTTCTGGTGTCCCCCGCCGTGATATTGCTGGAATATTGCTAAAAGCGGCGTAAAACCATACTCACTCAATAAACCTACAATGAAAATCCAACCATTGATGCTTCCATCATGCATTAAGTCAGTGTAGTGATAGGGCGGTCGTCCTCCTGATGCTCCGAGCCATGTGTCCTCCTGATGACCAAACATGATCCTGTTGGCATCGTGGGCGAACGCCTTCATGTTGGCGTAAAGCTTCTTCGTCTCACGTGTAGCACGTTGATCAACTGGATTGCATGCCACCGAGTCCAGGAACCAGCAAACCACGAACACCAGCAGTCTGTACACAAATGTTTGTTTGTTTGTTGTTTACCGCCGCACTCAGCAATATTTCAGCTGAATGACCCCGGTCTGTAAATAATCGAGTCTAGACCAGACAATCTAGTGATTGACACTACGATGACATGCCGGAACTAAGACGAGCCTGACCACACGATCCCGTTAGACGTCCTTTACGACAAGCATAGTCGCCTGTTACGGTAAGCATGGGTTGGCCGTACACAAATGAGTTAGTGAGTGGGTTTGGTTGTACGGCTCGAAAAGAAATATTCTACTAATATCACGATGGTGTGTACTTCACAAAGGACTTCTCACAGTGTACCCATGCGGCGTCAGTACAGTTCATTTTTTGGATATATTTTTTTCAATTGAAGAATATTTGTTTGTTTGTTTGTTTGTTGTTTGACGCCCAAATCAGCAATATTCCAGCTATATGACGGCTGTCTGTGGATATACGAGTCTAGGCCAGACAATCAAGTGATGAACATCATGAGCATCGATCCAAGCAATTGGGATACGATGACATGCATCAACCAAGTCGGCGAGCCTGACCACCTGATCCCGTTAGTCGCCTCTTACGACAAGCATAGTCGCCTTTTACGGCAAGCATGGGCTGCTGAAGACCTATTCTACCATGTATCTTCAGGGGTCAATTGAAGAATATAAAAACATACTGTGAATAATTCTGGGAGATATATTCCTTTGCTCCTCGGGTTCATATAGTGTCATTTAATGCAAACCCACTTATCATAAAACTTTTCAATCACATTATATTGAAATATTACAATATGTATGGACATAGAGACAATTCAAGGGATTAAGAAAGGATCTTTGTACAGTAAACTACGGTTATAACGAACTCATATGGACCACTAACTTTAGTTTGTTATAACCGTTGTTCGTTATAAGCATATATACAGCATAACTATAGCAAATAGTCGGGACATACAGATCCGTCAGTTCGTTCGTTTTAAACGTACTTTACTGTACTTTGACTAATCGCCAATCAAGTGCAGCAGTAATGGCGATGAGATACGGCTGCAAGAATAACAACGCCCTTGTTGAGACATAATATCCTGGGAGTATAACGACTGTGTAAACTATGTACTTCGTCAGCCTACTATGTATCTAAGCCTCGCACAGAAACAATTGCGTGAAACTTCTGTGGTGGGCAGTACGTGATGTCATAAAGGTATATCCACACTGTTGAGAAATAAGTTTCGCTGTGACAAGTCAGTGATACAAGCAGGGGTCTGTGATCTTCAGAAAATGGAGGTACATGCAGTAAGTAGTCAAGTACTTGACCTGATTTATTTTGAAGCACCAGTTTTAATAATTGGCGAATACCTTTAGAAATATCATATTTGTTCATCATGGTATGATAGGTACAAGGACGGGTAATGGACGTGTTGTTTACTTATTACAGAGCGTTCCACTTACCTCATACTGGACTACGCCCAATTGAATGTACTACCTTGGCAGAAGATAACGTATCTAGGCAGAGGTAAAATGTTGGCACAGTTTCGTGATTTGATTATAAAAACGTTATCTTTCTACACTGTGCCACGTGACACGAAATGTCCTCAGTTTTGATATTAAACTAACGGTGAGGTGAGGTGAAATGGGGTTCAACGTCGTCAACTGTTTAGTGGGTCTTAAAACACTTGTTTGTCTATGTTAACCTGTTTGTCTATGTTAACATGTTTGTCTATGTTAACCCGTTTGTCTATGTTAACCTGTTTGTCCATGTTAACCTGTTTGTCTATGTTAACCTGTTTGTCTATGTTAACCCGTCGTCTATGTTAACCTGTTTGTCTATGTTAACCTGTTTGTCTATGTTAACCTATTTGTCTATGTTAACCCGTCGTCTATGTTAACCTGTTTGTCTATGTTAACCTGTTTGTCTATGTTAACCTGTTGTCTATGCTAACCTGTTTGTCTATGTTAACCCGTTTTTCTATGTTAACCCGTTTTTCTATGTTAACCTATTTGTCTATGTTAACCCGTTTGTCTATGTTAACCTGTTTGCCCATGTTAACCTGTTTGTCTATGTTAACCTGTTTGTCTATGTTAACCCGTTTGTCTATGTTAACCTGTTTGTCTATGTTAACCTGTTTGTCTATGTTAACCTGTTTATGAGAGCCGTCCTCCTTCCCTTACCTGAAGTTAGACAAGGGTGTGTTTTACCTCTGGTCCGATTCAGGTGTACATGTCCCTGCAGATGACTGTATTTTCATTTCTTGATGCCGGAGATGCCAAACCAAACTTCAGACAAATAAAAATTATCAGGAATTATTTAGGTCGAAAATCTTTAGCTCATGATGTTCAGAAAAGTATTGTCGATATGGACTTCACGAAAAGAATTGAAAAGGGTCAGCGAGAACGCGAGAATGCGAGAATGCGACATTTTATTTTCTCTCAAATGTTGACATTTCACGTTCTCGAATTCTCGTATTCTCGTATGTGTTTGTCTGTGGTCGCATTTACTATTCCTCACATATGCCGGTTTTATATTTTTAGCTCACCGAGATACAATACCGCAGTGTAACATGGATACCCATTGCACTGAGTGAGAGACAGCATTTTGCTTCTTTTGGTATTGTGCGGATAGGGAATCGAACCGCCGACCTTCCGATCTCTGGGCAGGGCATATGTTGTTATGATTCTGCCCAAATTCTAATGCTTGGCATGGCATGATAATTATCCAGATGTTGTGTAACACGTAGGATCTCCACGTAGCCACTTTTTCTAGCAAACAAGTTAGACTATCAAGTGCTCATAAAAGACTTGTATTTATAGCCTTCCATTTCCATGAGGGTTGGTCGGTTTGTTGTTTAACGCCGCGCTCAGCAATATTCCAGCTGTATGACGGCGGTCTGTAAATAATCGAGTCTGGACCAGACAATCCAGTGATTAATACCGTGAGCGTCGATCCACGCAATTGGGATCGATGACATGCACCAACCAAGTCAGCGAGTCTGACCACCCGATCCCGTTAGTCGCAGGGCATGTGATGTAGAGATGCATAAGTTATCTAGAACGTGATCCTGGGGGGTTATTTAATAGCAGTTTTCACATCATACCCCAAAACAACCGGAGACCTCAATATCAGCCCAGGGTCGAAAGTCATAACATCAAAATGTAAACTGTATCTATTTGCATGTGAGTGCAATATATTTTCACCTTGTTTGGAAGACTTTGTCACGGGAAAGCTAGCTGATAAGACGATCAGTCGACATACCGAGGGACTTACTCCAATTTATTATTTATTATCACCAGGGCTGATATCGACCGCCCATTCAAAATGATT